TTTTGATATTAAAAAAATAAGTTTTTAAAATAATAAGCTCTAATCACAACTTTTAATTAAAGAATAATAACTTATATTCAAAAAATATAAGAATTGAATAAAAAATCATAGCTTATTAATAAAAATAAAATATTTTTTAAAAACATTATTGATATAAATTTTTTAAAAAAAATTAATAAAATTATGATATTTTAAAAAATTATATTATTATTTATATAATTAAGGAGAATGTTATTGTCATCGTTCCTTGTTTATTTTAATAAATACAAATTAAACGTGATAGCACCGGAATGAAACGTACATGTTTGGACAGATAACGCTGACCACCCTCGTGCTGTGGCAGTAAATTGATTGGACGTCATTCGACTCATAGACTACTTGAACTCCATCTGCGAGGTTTTTATGTCTGCTCTTTTTATTTAAAAATATAAAATTTTTTAAAAAAATTAGACGAAAAAAAAATATTTTTAATTTTTTAATATATAATTTTTACTTTTTTTAAGTTATCATATTAAATAAATAATTTATATTTATTTTAAAATAAAACACTCTATTAAATAAATTAAATAAAAAAATAAATTTAATTTCAAAATAAATAATTATTTTATAATTAAATAAAATTTAATTATAAAATATTTTATATTTTTTAAGAGTAAGAGTATTTCTTTAAAATAGTATAACTTTAACTTCACTTCTCATTTATCCATCATTTCAATTCTTAATATTTTGGATAAAAAACTAGAAAAGGGATGGAGTTTGTTATGAGTTCCGCCTTAAACATCACCTCATAAGTCACAAGTAAAGTGTAATTTAAGTGTATAATCATTATAGTTCTTTAGGATGATCTTTCCTTTTGAATATTAGTTGGATAAAATCTGAATCATTTAAATATTTAAATGATCGAAATTTAAACTAACATTTTATTTTATATTTATTAAAATAAAAATATTAAAAATTATAAAATAATTTTAATAAATTTTTTATTTATAATTTGATCTAGATTTAATTTGAAGAGTTCAATTTAATATTAAATTATTTATAATTGTTATATATTGTCGCACTTGAAAATGCGACGCGGACGATGAGCTAGCAGAAGTTCCGGCTTTGGGAGCAAAAAGTAAAAGAATGGGAATCGCCACCAAAATTTGAGATAAATTTTAAAAAATCATTTAAAGGAGGTAAGGATGGTCTGCGAAATCAGAAAATAAATTTGAGAGTCGATTGAGTATGTAAAAGATGTCAGGTACTTCACAATACTCGTTCGTAAGAACGGTTACCTAAAGTTTGTTATGTTAAATTAATATAGTTTTAATTTTTTTTAATTATCACTTTCTTATTCACGTATTTGATATATAAAAAATAATAATAATTAAGTAAAAAATATTTATTTATTTACAAGAGAGGACTTGATTTAAAATCAAACTCTAAGGTTTACGTATCTTGTGATGAGAATCAAAGTCCATGTAATTTAGGTTTATAAATTATTGGTGAAAATATTTTTTTAAGAGAAATTAATTAAAAATAATTTATCATTTTGCAAATAAAATAATTTCTGAAATTTTGATATGTATATTTTAAATTACAAATAGTAATTTAATTTTTATTGTTTTCTTAATTTTTGAAATTTGAAATAGAAAAAAAGGTAGAGTTTAAATTATTATTTTGTTATATTTTATTATTAAAAATTTAATCATTATACCTATAGAGCCTTATTAGCTCGTACGATAATGTAATTATTATAAATATATGTGAAAATTTTAAAATCTCACACCATAACAGAGTTTACCAACTTAATTTATTTATATTTTTAAGTGTTAGTAATAATTTATTTCAGCATGTATATAAATGTTTTTAAAGAATCTTAATCGTCATATCTGCAAAGCCTTATTGACTTATATAATAATATAATTATTCTAAATATCTATGAAAATTCTAAAATCTCATACAATAAAATAGTTTAATAACTTAATTTATTTTACTTAAATTTTTAAGTATTAATAATATATTTTAAACATGCATATACATATTTACATTTTTTAAAGACTCCTAATCATCATACCTACAAAACTTTATTGACTTATACGGTAATATAATTATTTTAAATATTTGCAAAAATTTAAAATTTTCACACAATAAAGGATTAAATAATATATATATTAAATATATTTTAATTTATTTCTTATTATGTATGTAAATAATTTGTAAAAACTAATCATTATACTTATAAAGTCTTATTGATACAAACGATAATGCGATTATTTTAGAAGTCTATAGAGATTCAAAAATCTCACATTGACCAAAAGATTTAATGATTATTATTTAAGTATATTAATTTAATTAATTAATTTTTTAAAAATTTTTATTATTTTATTTACAAAATTTATTTATTTATTAACCATATAAATTGAGAATCACGATATCTTTGAGTATTTATGATGTCACATGATAATGTGTTTAATTTAACTCTCTATAAAGATTCTTAAAATCTGACATAAGACTTAAATATTTTATCAATTTAAATTATAAAAAGAGAGTTAATTTTAATGATGGGCCTTTAAAACCTATATTAATATATAAATTTTTATTTTCATATCTATGAAATCTTATTAATTTACACGATATGAGATCATTTTAAATGTTTGCTGAGATTTTTAAAATCTCACATAACAAATAAGTAATCAAAATATTTGCATTTGTAATTGATGCGTAATATGAATTTAGCATTTAAAAAAATAAAGAAAGAAACTATTTTGACACTAAACTCTCTTTTTTGACTTGAGATTGTATTCTTCAAGATTTTTTAAATTGACTTAATATCGAGATATAACTTTCAAAAGGAAATAATGAAAGTTATAGTTATAGCATCCAACAATTAGAATAAACAAGATTTACATGTCATCATCACCATCATTCACCTAATTTATCTTAAAATTATTTATGAATAAATAATAGTCCTATATTAGACATATGCATGCTCTTGCTTTTCTTAAAATAATATGATCATTTAAAGGAATGAAGCAAGACTGTGAAATTTTTTAAAAGAAGTATAAGATTTTAAACAAACAAAAGCCAAATTAAAGTCATCAACAAGTTACATGTATAGATATGTCAAAAATTGATTGATGTATGCTTTTGTGCTTTAATCAAATTCTTCAAGAACTCATCATCTACTTCATGAAAAATCCTCATCAGTGGGTCTGGTAACGAGTGTCCAAGCTTCGTATTTCTTCAAATTTTTAGGAGGCCTTTAAGCTATTGACTTTTGTCAGAACTTTGTCCATTTTCATCTCCCTTCTGTTCCTACACCTTTCTTAGGCCGCAGATAGGAGGGAGCGTTCATGGTGGTTCTCCTTCTTGAAGCAAAAATCTAGTCCTGTGTTTCTCTCCTCTCATTCGTTCCTCCCTTAAAGTGCTTAACCCCCTTTTCTCTCTCGTTTGTCATAGTCCAACTGTGACCGAGAGAGAGAGATGAGAGTTTTGTGTGACGATGAACGAATTTGGGCTAAGAGGAAATGAGGTAACCGAACTCAAGTGGCTGTGATAAATTCTCCACCCGAACCCGTGCGACTAAGGGAAGAAGAAGAAGATGATGATGATCTCGTTCAGTCTAAAAACCCACGGCACATGCATGCTATTGTTTCTGCATTTTCTTCTTTGATATAGATGTGCCGCTAACCCCTTTGTTCCTTTGCCTGTGTTTTTTGGATGCTGATACATATATGAACACTTTCACATCAGAGTGTTCGATCGCTCTACTTTAGCTCTCTCCAAAAACTTGAGATTTCCTTTTCTTTAAACTCAACTGTTGTTCGGCCAACTTCCCTCTCTTCCTCTGTTTTCAAAAATCTCTTGTCTCAAACTCTCGGTCCTCTCTTTGAATCAGATGAAGCTTGTGTGTGAGAGATGCTTGCGTGTTTCCCTCTTCTTGCTCTGCTGTGCGTCTACTCTCTCTGCCTTTTGCATGTGTGGCCAAAGGAGTTTAGCTATGCTTTTCTTCTCGTTTCTCCTTCTGCTTTTCATCCGTCCCCCTCTGCTTTTGCTTCTGTGTTTTCTGTGTGTTTTCGGCTAGCATGCGTTCTCTAGTTCTTTTCTCTTTTGCGCCGAAGAAGTTTAGGGCTACTTTGTTTGTGCGTCTGTTCTCTCTTGCTTTTGCTTTGTATTTTTGTGTATATTGTTTGCTCGTGTGGCCGTGTTGCTTGCTCTTGCTCCTCTATCTGCATTTGGTTCTTCTTTGCGTCTCTCTTGTTGTGTTTGTGAGTATGTGCGCTGTGAGAAGACCTTCCTCTTCTGCTTTATCTTTTGCCTTTGTGTGTGTTTTCTTAAAATTTTGAAAATCAGATTAAGTGAGAAAATTTAATTTTAAATTAAATAAAAATATTTTTTATTTATTTGTTAGATTATTATTTATTTTTTGTGTTCTTAAAATTTTAAAAATCACATTAAGAGAGAAAATTTAATTTTAAATTAAATAAGAATATTTTTTTATTTTATTAAATTATTATTTTTTAAAATATATAATCTTAAAAAAAATTAAATTTTATTTTTATATTTTTTTATTATTTTAATGAATTAAAAAAATAAAATTTTAACCAATAAAAAAATTATTTAAATTAAAAAAAATAAAATTCTATTGATTAAAGATTTTTTTATTTTAAAAATATAATCTTAAAAAAATTAATTTTTATTTTTTAGTTAAATTTATTATTATCTTTATTATATTAAAAAAATGCTCAAATAAAATGTGATATTCACGTATATTATGCATTTAGATCATATAGGTTTTAAATTTTGATGGTTTAGATTTACAAACTTTTATTTTATATTTATTAAAATAAAATTATAAATTTTAATAAATTTATTTCATTATTAATCTTGACAATGTATATTTAATTTAAATAATTCATTTTAATATTAATTATTTTTATAATTTTTATAAATTGACTATCAAAATATAATTAAGATAGTCTAAATTTAACATTTTTAAATCCCTAGTTTTTCTTACAATTTTTTAAAGTGTCAGTTTAAAAATTGTCTTCATTTTTATTTTTTAATATTTTTTTATTAAAATAAAAAATTAAAAAAATTAAAAAAATTAATATTAAATCTACACTACCCCACACTTAATTGTGCATATATAAACTTTCACTTCACCATCATTGCTATTTTTTTTTTCACTCACTGCCATTCTCCCATTTAAAATTTCAATGGAGTGTCTCTCCATTTTTTTATTTCCATCTTTTCGCTTTTTTATATAAACTATCCATTATTTTTATAATTTAAAGAATATTTAATAAAATAATATAAATAATTGAGATAAAAAAGAAGATTAAAAGAGAGAGAGGTTTCCCTCCCTAAAAATGCTGGCCCCACTGTCACATGTGCGCTTCTGCCCATATATTGCTTGGGCGTCGTCATCCCGTTGGTGGATTGCTTAGCTTGGAGTCCATTGACGATCCAGCATTTCTATTCTCAGGTAATTAAATCTCACTTCTCTTCTTCACTTTCTTCATAATCTTCATCAATATTAGATCTGAGAGACAGGATAAGAAAAAAAGCTAAGGGATCATTATATTTAATTCCATCGTCTTCTTTATCTGCATAATTGAATTCGTGAAGCAAGATGAAAGAAAAAAAGAGAAGTAGACTAATTCGGTAGAAAATAAAGGGAGGGAGTTTTAGAGTGTGCTAGGTGGGAGAGTTTTGAAAGCCTACAGAAGCTGCTTTCATCCATTTGCTTAGTTCATAAAAAATTGAAGGATGGGCTGGGGCCTGGGAGTTTATCGTATGGTTTAGAAATTTAAAAGGGGGAGAGGGGAGCTCCTTATATAATAATAATAATAAGGATAATGAAATTTTCAGACATTTGAGTTTGTTCAAGTTATTAATTTGATATATTAAGTTTAATTTTATTCCATTTGATTCTTTGATTTTTTGTAAATTATCGTATAAATTTTTTAAATTTTAAAATACAAATTAACTTTAAAAATAATTTAATATATAAAATATATTGATAACATGACATATATATGTAGTTAAATAAAAATAAATTAACCTTTAAATTAATTTAATTTTTATCAATATAATTTTAATACTATATTTTGTTCTCTTATTTTTTAAAATTTTAAAGTTTGCTTTTTCCTGCATTAGTTATTATATTTCTTTTTATTAATCAACATTTTTATAATCAACATCCAGTAATCAATGTCAGCAAATTTTAAAAGTGTAACTTCTGTTTTTTGAAAAGGACTAACTTGATGACAAAATAAAATTAAGTGATTAAATTGATAATAATTAAATTTGGTAGCTCACATTGATAACTGGCATAAAATCGAGGAAGTAAAAGTTGTATTATTCCAAAAACGCACACTCATATCTTCTCTTCCTCTCTCATAATAAAGTAAATTTATCATCCAATATAATTTAATAAATAATTTCATTAATTATATATTGATAAATTGTAACGTTGATAAATATTAGCTCTTACTTTTTTTGTCAATATAAGATGAAAATATTAACATCCTTAAAAATAAAAAAAATTAAAAATTACTTTGTAAGAACTTTTTAATAATGAATCAAAAAAATAAAAAATAAGTTGAATTTAATAAAGTAAAAATCATCTACTTCTTATTAGTTTTTCTTTCTTTTCTTAAACTAAATAAGATATCATTAAAATTTTCTATTCCTTTCTCTTCCATTCATACCAAATAAGAATCATTAGCTTCCCTAGCTCCTCATTTACCCCCTCAATTTCCTTCATTAAAATTTCTTCCCTCCTCCCTTAAACCAAACACGCCTTTAATGAAGGGAGGAGGAGAAACAAATCCATTTTAATGGGTTTGATAGATTATAGTAACTCTTTTATCAAATGGTGCATTCCATTAAAGATAATTAACCAAAACATCACTTCTTTTTTGAATCATGAAAATAATTATACTATTTATTCCTTCAAATTTTATTTATAAGGTATTTGAAATATTTTTCATCATTTTAATTAAGAAAAATTATTATATTACTTTATTTGTTATATAATAGGAAAAATTATAAATAGATCTCATATAAAAAAAATTATTTATAAATAAATTTTGTAAAATTTAATGTTTATAATCAAGTCCTTTAAAACTTAAGTGTAATTTGAAATTGAAGTATGGAGGCAATTTTGCCTATATTAATTAATTTGACTTTCATTTACAACTATAACTTTATAATTTATAAGTAAAAATTTATAATTTACAAATCAAATTTCTTATTTAATGCTTAATATAACATTAAATCTCCATGGAATTGATTAATTATGCTTTCTTAAAACTATAATTATAGAGTGAATTATAAATTTTACATATTAATTGGACCAATTATATCCTTCAACAGTAGGTATAATTAACTCTATAAAAAGTCTATATTATTTCAAGCATTAATTAAGAAATTTGACTTATAAATTATAAATTTTTACTTATAAATTATAAATTTGTAATTGTAAGTGAAAGTCAAATTAATAGAGATAATATTATTTTTATATTTCAACTATAAATTACACTTAGATTTTAAGTAATTTGATTGTAGTTTTTTAATTTTATAAATTTATTTATAAATAAGTCTATTTTATCATTATGGGACCTATTTATAACTTTTCTTATGAAATATTTCAATTTTTAATCAAATTTGTATTAATTAAAGGCGTACCATAAGTCACCTTGTTGTCTGTGCAAATACTTTCTTAAATTGAAGGGCAAAAATATAAGATTATCTTATCGTTTTGTCCTAACCTTTACAATTAGGATTTAGGAGCACTTTTTATTCGTATTTACTACATACTTGTCCTTAACCTATCCTTGTCCGATCTCATACTTATCCTTTAAGCTTCCCTTATGTCGCGACTTTTTCTAATTTCTATTCATTTCTTTTTTGGCCAAAAAATTTCTCTTCATTTTCATTCCACTCGGGTGCATCCTCTAAATGATAAAATCATCAGTTTATAAAAAAAAAAAAAAGTCAGTACGTTCATAAGAATATTTATATTATTTTAATCTATACTTAAAATGCACATGTTAATTGAAATTAAATATTTATTTATTATTAGTTGAAGTAAATATTTTTAAAATATAATTTTCTTAATAAGTTAAATATATTTATAATTTATTAAATACTTTTAATTCTAAGAAGCTTATAATTTTGAATAAGCATGATTCGGAATAACTTTAAAAAAACATTAATAATTTATTTCTTATAATTTTAACTTAATTACAATTTGATTCATGAAATTTAACCAGGAGCAATTCAATCCGTAAAATTTTAATAATTTAATTCAATTATTTGGTTAAAATTTGATCCTTCAAGTACTAAATATTTTTTAAAATTGAATGAGTAAATTTATAAATGGTTAAGGATTGAATTGAATAAACTTCAAAATACTGAGTTCTAACCAAGTCTTCAACTGATTTTTTGAAGTATGTCAGCTAATTCACAGGGAAATGGAGAAAGCAGAAGCAAGTTCCGTAACTATACCAGCACAACTACTTCAAAGGGCTATTTCACCTCAGTTTAGGAGGCCTTCCCTTCATCTTCTTGATGACCTACGTACTCTCTCTCTCTCTCTCTCTCTCTCTCTCTCACTTAGTAGTAAATAACTTTTTCTTTAAAACTAGCTCATTCTATATCTAATGTGGATTTTAAATCTCTCCTTTATGACAATCTCCATAAAAAAAAAATTTTGATTCAGAAGAGCGAAGAGATAAGTACCTAAGGGTATGTGTTCCCCTTCACAAAGCAGCCATGAAAGGTGATTGGAAAGCAGCGAAGCACATCTTAGAGAAAGATTGGACTTTAGTTTCTGCTGCCATAACCATGCGGTGGGCGACAGTTCTCCATGTAGCCGCCGGAGCGAACCGCACTCGATTTGTCGATGAGCTGGTGAAGATTATGTGTCCAAAAGACTTGGAATTGCAAGACGTGAATGGGAACACTGCATTTTGCTTCGCTGCAGCAATTGGGAATTTGCAGATTGTTCAGGTAATGAAGAAAAAAAATAAGAACTTGCCAACAATAAGGGGTGGCGCAGGAATCACCCCTCTTCACATGGCTGCTTTACAAGGAAGAAGTGAAATGGCATGGTATCTATACTCTGATAAAATTGTTAAGGGTTTTGAAGATAATGACTGGATCATACTGTTATTCTCCTGTGTCAACACTGGAATCTATGGTTAGTATATTGCACACAGAGATGGAAGTAGAAAACAATAAGACATTACATACAAGTACATGATTTTGAAGATTACATGACTTCATTAATTTATTCAATTGTACGTGCAGATTTAGCCTTGGAGTTACTTAAGGAGAGGCCAGATCTAGCTTTTAAGAGGGATCAAGCTAATGAGACGATATTGCATATATTGGCTAGAAAGCCTTTAGGCATGTGAATTCTTTACTTATTCATTTTCTTCTGGCCCTTTCCTATCATTGTTTAATATACTTTTGTAATGTGTTTGTGACTTAAAATGTTGGCAAATAATTCTAAAATGTGATTACAACCTAATCAATATTCCCATGCTTATCATTTTATCCAGACTTTTATGCGTTTGACAACTATATAATCACCGTTGTTTTCTTTAGTCAAGCTGTAAGTTAATTTGAACTGTCCGCATTAGAGAATTTACTTTTTATTTAATATGATAGTAGATTTATTGTAATTAAAAAGAATTGGTGATATGTAATGAAACAAAACATAAAATTATTAAGTAATGATATGTTGTAAACTTTCGTTCAAAATATTCAGTTTTTTAACTGTGTCGACTTAATCTCTCAATTAACCAAATGGTTAAATTGTGTTTCCTAGGTTTGAAACAAGCTCACCAGCTTCGACTTGTAAAGCATTTGTGGAGTATATTTCTTATTCGAGACGACAAGGAGATTTTGGGCAATATAAGGTTTCCTTCACAAGTAGTATTTGACGCCGTAGAAGTTGGGAATTTTGAGTTTCTAGCTGTGCTTACAAGTACCTATCCTGATTTAATATGGGAAGTTGATGAAAGAAATCGAAGCATAATTCACATTGCCGTTTTGTATCGTCATGCTAATATCTTTAATCTCATACAAGACATTGGCCCAATCAAAGATTTCATTGTAAGTTTTTTGGATAGCAGAGATCAAAGCAATTTATTGCATATGGCTGCAAAATTAGCACCGCTAGATCGACTAAACTTAGTTTCTGGAGCAGCATTTCAGATGACCCTTGAGTTATCGTGGTTTGAGGTATTTTGCTAGTATTTACTATTTAGTCTTTTTACATGGTAGCTTCACATTCACATTAGGTGGACCCTTGATGATTGTGCAAAATTTGAGAAATCAATTACGGTTTGTGAATAGTTCAATTTACTATTAATGTTATATTTTACATTGATGCCTTTCATATATATACCTCCTTTAACACGGCAGGAGGTGAAAAAGATATCTCCACCATCATTCATAGAGATGAAGAATGCAGAAGGCTTGACTCCTCACCAACTATTCATAAAAGAGCATAAAGAGTTATTGAGTGAAGCAGAATCATGGATGAAGGGAATAGCAAACTCTTGCATGGTTATTTCTACTCTTATTGCTATTGGAATGTTTTATGCTTCATTCAATATACCAGGTGGCATCATTGACAATACAAGAATCCCTAATTACTTGCGAAAAAGATATTTCCTGATATTTGGCATGTCTAATGCATTTGCAATGATCTCATCCTCGACCTCCACGGTCATTTTCTTGTCCATCCTCATCTCAAGGCATGCAGAGCAGGATTTTCGCAAGTCACTACCATTTAAATTGATGTCTGGATTGGCTGCACTTATCATCTCCATGATAAGCATGATAATAGCTTTTGGCAGTGCTTTCCTTGTGACTTATTATCATGGTTTGATCTGGGTTCCTGCCTTCATTCCTGTTATTGTCTTTGTACCTATATTTTTATTTGCATTTTGGCTATTCCCAATTTGGTCTGATACAGTCTATTCAAGCTACTTTTGTAGAACTGTTTTCCGGCCAAGTAAGCTTATGTCTTACTATGGTTCAAAAAAGCATATGCTTCCAGGCCCCCCCCCCCCCCCAAAAAAAAAAGCACATGCTTTACTAAAGAGTAAAGTAGGCAATTGTGATGGATCTCTTCCAGTAATGTACTGACTTAGTCTAATATTAGTCTAATATCGTTGTGAGTCATAATAAAGAAATTTTCTTTTCCAATTTTACTGAACATTTCTTATTATTCTTAATTGAAACACTGCTAAAAAAAAAAGACTTTGATAGCGTTTAAAATTTTAATTTTGTAGTGTCTGTAAAACACTACAAGTCTCGATATTATTAAAAGTTTTAGGTGGTGTTTCATTAATTAATGAAATGCCATAAGAAGTTAGTATAGTGGTGGCATTTTTTCAAATAAAAAACACTATCTCTTGAATTAATTTTTTTAAATAAAAGGAAGGTGGTGTTTTTTATTTATTCAAATAAAAAAAATTATTTCTTGAATAATTTTTTGAAAAATAAAAAAAAGGCGATGTTACCTCTTATACATTTTCTTAAATAAAAAAGGGAGAATAGGTGATGTTTCTTCTTATAAACACTACCTCTCTTCCTACTTTTATATAAAAATAAAAGGAGGAAAGAATGTCACCTCTCTTTCTTTGTTTTTTTTTTTAAATAGCAAGAATCAATATATGTGTGTGTGTATATATATATATATAATTTTTTATATATCCATCAATTTAAATACATAATTTTTGAAAAAAATACACAACTAATTTATACAATAAATTTAATTTATACAGTTATTATAACTAAATAATCAATTTTGCACTATATAAAACTCCAATAAATTTAGCATGATCATAAAAAAATTGTGAAAGAGTATCTCATATATTTCTGTTGCATATTTATTGAATCTACCAAAAATTTGAATCAAAGTCAAAGTGGAACGTATTCAAGACTATATATATATATTCTGTAGAGGTAAAGATATAAAATTAACTTGCCTATGAATTGAACTTCTAGTGAATAGAAATAAAAAAACCATAAACAATGTATATAGAAAAAAGAACAAAAACATGAACAATGTATATTCTTCGTGAACCATTTAGATGGAGTAACAAAATTTACTAACATTTTTTTGATGAGTTAAACATATCGGTGCAATCAAACAAATAAGAGCAAGCCAAAAGGAGACCAAATTCAAACATGAAATAGAGGGGATCAAATGAAATTAAAGTCAACATTTTGATTCAATTACAAAACATATCTTGAATCATATATTCAACTTACATTGCTTGAAGTGTCAAACAGTTCTCAATAAAAAAACTTTCATCCATTAAAAGGAATCTGAAGAAATACTAAGAATGTCATAGTATACAAATTTAGATTAAGCAAATATAGAGCCAAAATTACCATAAGCAACAGAAGAGAGTTCACTTTTACAAACCAAAAAAATTGGTGATTGTTGGATATGGTTGGCACCTAAGAGGGGGTGAATTGGGTGACAATTAATTTTTTTAGATTTAAAGAAGAGTAGAAGTAAATAACAAGAGATTCAAGAAAGAAAAGCTTTTATATAACCCTCTTCTAACATCCACCTGACATTAAGAGGGGGTTAACCAAATCACCACAATTACAAACTCAACTATACTCAATAATCTTGTTTGAAAAGCTTGGGACTCAAGATTTAATTTGCAAATCTTTAAAATCATTTGAAATCTAATACACAATGATCTAATGCATAGCCGAGAAACAAAGTTAAAAATAGGGCCATGTGCTATGGCGCGGTGCCACATGCACCCCGGCATATGGTATAAAGCCACGAGCTGACCTTCTTTATACCATGCATTACGGTGTGGCACACAATGCACCATGGCACACATGATAGTATTTGTTACTATCATTTGATATCTTATAGAGAGAACTTTTGATGTACATTGTTTCCACATATGACGTCTGATCGAAGTGGTTTAAGTGCCCACATGAAACTTATTTTATAAGTTGGCTAATGAGACAAATTTGGACATAATCCAATGGTTTGAATAAAATTTGGATACTTGGGTACAAAAAGTTATTTTTTCAAAAAAACTTAGTGCACCAAAGCACTCAAATCGCTCATATTGTCTCATTAGACCATTCTAAGCCATGAACCAAGTCCAAAAGGACCTTATGCACGTGATTGAAACACATTTTATATCATATATACACAAAAAATCAAAATTTAACTGTTCAATAGCCCATTTCCACAAACATAAACTTTTTACTACTAAAAGCAATAACGAGTTCATGGCCATAAATACCATAAATTTACAACTAATTCACATGTTTTCACATTCACAACATGTTTATAACTAATTCTTAGCCCCTATGTCTAAATTCACCATAAATATAAACATATAGGCTAAGATTACCCAAAATTCACAACATTTCACAACTATAGGCATGTTTGCATCTTATGGTAACTTCATATACAATTATACACAAGAGAAGTGTATACTGGTTCAGACTCTTTTCCCTTGCCTTGTTCACTAACTTGACCTATAAAAATGTAATCACGGGGTGAGATAACAATCTCAGTAATAGAATAACTCTCTACTACCAATTATCACATGCAACCATAAGTAAGTATTACTTAATTTATGTTTAAACATAGGCAATATCATAAGATTCACTTAATCCATACCATGTTTAACTACTTCCATAAGCATTTCACAACAATTCACTACTTTTAGTATGATCACTACCATTTAAACCTCCAAATCATGCCAACTTAAAACCATAAGCTCGCCTTAGATCAACACACATGCTCATTAGTTTTGAGCTCATCTTCAGTGGTAAAATCACTCAACTAGAGGCATTTTATCCCACTTCCAGACTATGGTTTCCCTTATTACATATAATGGAGTGTCATTGGCTCTAACACTGCATCACAAATGCTAAGGGGCTTAAATCTCCAACACCACACTTTAATAGGTATTAAGGAGATAATATCTAATATCGCACCTTAATAGGTATTAAGAAGATACAATTCTCTAACACCATACCCCATCAAGTACTAAGAGAATGCCTATATGGTCTTTTACTACTTATCCTTATGAGTAAACTCCCACCTCTATGATCATGCTTCTATATAAATCACATTTTCATATGTATGTAAAACCACATACACACATTATTCACAAAGCATGAAATTCCATAAAATCAACCCTTTAAAAATCAATTTCATGCATTAAACATTCTTTTCATAAATATGCTTATTCTAACTCCTTTTCATGCAATAATAATCATACTCCCAAATAGTTGCAATAGATAATTGAATATAAAAAGTTATTCATTTACCTCAACCCTTCTATCATAAGAAAGGTTACCCACAGACTTTCATAATCACTAACTTGTCTCTACCAAGTTCTCTTCTTACTTTAGGTGTGGAATGAGCCAATTTACACACAATTGGCACTATTAGTCAATTGATCCAACTAATTAAAAATACTTAATTGTTAATTAATGCTATGATTAGTCATCCATTCCTTTCTACCTACTCAACCTAGGTTCATTACTAGTCGATAGTTACTTTATCTCACTTCTAGTGATTCCATTTCATTTCTACCCAATTTCCAACTCTAACCCTAGCTCATTTAGGGTTAATTGAAGCTTATGGATTTAAAACTTTATCATTCAACTCCAAAACATTAGTCATAAAGCTTTAATTTAGCTCCCGAGATCCTTTTTATTACTATGGGGTAAGAAACTAGCCCCTTAAATTTCCTCAATTCAATTTCTCTATAACTTATACTAAGAGAAATTATAGTAGAATTAAAGTTAAAAATTGTATGAAACTTATTTAATAAGTTACCAGTCGAAAATGCCTTCCAAGCATGATCACCTCACCCATGTTTGCTCATTCAACACCTCAATGACTAAAATTATTAAGTAATCATCCAAATTTTTAATCATTTAATAATTACTAATTCACTCCTGATTAGTAGCTAACTACAGAATTAGAAAACCAAGATGTTACATTTTACACTAATGATTTATCTTGGTTCAGCCCAATAACTTGGCCTATATCTAGTCCTTAAGATCATCTTTGAGATTTTTCAACTATAACCACAAGCTTCAGTGGGTGTTTGTAACATCAGTACAACTCTTAAGACTTGACTAATCTAGTTTCAACAACAATCCTAACTACAACTAGAAAATTGTTACAATTCACTTGAAAAATCTCTTTTCAAGATTTAACTAGTCATAAAGAAGAAATTTCTCAAAGAATAACTCTCTGTAAAGAGTATAATGAATATAATGAAGACTTAAGAACTAATAAGAGTTTTTTCACAAATTTGTCAAGAGTTGTTATATGAATGAATGCAAGACTTTTTATTCACAAATTAAATGTTTTCAAGAATTTTTAGACTTAGAATAGCTTACTCAATGATAAAAAAGTTTTCTATCAAAACTTCAATTGAGTCATATATAGTTTGGCAAAGTTTAGACCATTAGAAAGTTCAAAATAACTATTAGTGACATTTCAAGCGTGCAACTAGAAGATTCACTCATGAAATAGAGCTTAGTCAAGTTCCAGTCAAGCATGTATGACAATTCAAGCATGGATATAGGGTGGCTCGTGTGTGATTTGTAAGGTGTAAGAATAAGACCATTCTATATGACAAATTAGGTGTGGATCCCTCAATCTCCCATGCATGAAATGGCTAGTACAAAGCCAAAGCCATTCAAGATGAGAAATAACGCATGAGACTCTTTTCCATTCACGTGTGAAATGGATGGAAGAAAACCCAAGCCATTCTGTATGACAAATCATGTGTGGATCTAAAATGTGTTCAAGCGTGGATAGCATGATAGAAACACTTAGCTCATTTAGGTGATAAATCATGCTTGAGCACATTACAAAGCAAGCTTGAATTGGCTTGATTGACTTTAGGCTCTTTTATGCTAGATTATGTTTAAGTGATTAAGTAACAAATCAAGACTAGAAATTCTCCTTCAAGGTGTGAATTGTCACTTCTTTGAAATCCAATCTGATGCTATGTGACAATTCAAGCATGCGTGCAAATACCTTTCAAGTGTGAATTCAAACATAGAAGCTTCATCAAGACATTTCATGTGCATAGGTGACAAATCACACGTAGGCCATTTCTGATTCAGGCATGACACATCATGCAATGTGCCCA